CACCCGAGCAAGGCTGAGATGACTCCCTTGCGAACCCCTCTGGTAGTATTTACCGGAGATTGCATAGATGCGGAGGGGACCATCGCCTTACCAGTGGAGGTCGGGGACGGTCTGCACCGTGCGGCGATCCACATGACGTTCGTGGTCATCTGCATGAAATGTTCCCATAACGCTATCCTTGGCAAGTTTAGCTTGGAGGACTACGAAGCAATCTGCTCCGGGCATCATTCCTACATCAAATTCCCCACAGAGACAGGGGTAGGAATAGCCCGCACGGATCCACACACCACCACAGCCTGTTACAAGGAGGCCATGAAGAAGGTGAATGACCGCGACATGCGGGTCAACTGCATAGCAGAAACCGCTCAGCAGGCGGATATTGTGTCCTGCCCCAAGCCGGTGACGTTGCTTGAGGAGGTCGAATTGGGTGACCCCTCGGATAGGAAAGTATCGATTGGTGTCGATCTGGAACACGGGATTCGGGAGGGAGTGATCCTCGTCCTCCAGAAATACAAGGTCTTATTCGCCCGGGGCCAGAAGACATGCCCGAGATAGACCATGAGATCATCTGTAACAGATTGGCCATTCAACCTCATGCATAACCAGTACAACAAAAGAAGAGGTACATGGCGGCCGAATCGAGGGATTTCATCAAGGTGGAGGTCACCACGCTGCTCGGCATCCGCCATATCTGGTCGGTCATCCATGTAGAATGGCTGTCCAATGTTGTGTTGGCGCCGAAGGGTCCTACATGGCGGATGTGTGTTGATTATTCATATCTGAACAAGGCTTGCCCTCTGATCCCTATCCCGTACGCAGATCAATCTACGGGTGGATGAAACCGCTGGCTGCGAACTCCTCAGCTTCATGGATGCCTTCCGAGGCTACCATCAGGTGTTCATGCACCCCGATGACGCAGATAAAATGGCATTCGTTATGTCGAACGATGTGTACTGTTATATTGTCATGCTCTTCAGCCTGAGGAACGCCATGGCCACTTTCAAGAGGATGATCGGGATATTGTTCAAGGAGGTGCTCGGTATAATCATGGAGGCCTACGTGGACGATATCTTGATCAAAAGCAAGAGGAATGAGGACCACATCCAGGACATGGAGAAGGTCTCCAGCATCATGTAGGGGGGCAACATGCATTTGAACCCAAAGAAGCGTGCAATTTTGCTGTCAAGGACAGAAAATTTCTCGGGTATATGATGAGTGACCGAGAAATTGAGCCGAACCCTGAGAAGGTAAAGTCCATCATGGACATGGAGGCTCCCAGGAACCTGAAGGACGTCCAGAGGCTCACTGGGCGTCTGGCTGCCCTGAGCTGTTTTATGTCCAAACTGGCAAATCAGGTGATTCCTTTCTTTTAGATCATGAAGAAGGCGAACCCGTTTGAGTGGACCCCAGAGTGTCAGTCGTCATTTGAAGACTTCAAGGCATACCTTTCCTCCCCGCTGAAAGAGGAGGAGGGCGTTCAACGGCCAATCTATTTTGTGAGCAAGGCGTTGAACGGTCCCTAGACCAGGTACAATCTGATGGAGAAGACAATCCTCGCACTCATTACAACAATCAAACGCCTTGCGCCTTATTTCCAAGCACATCATATGACGATCTATACAACGCAACCGCTCGCCACCATTATGAGGAACCTAATTGCCAGCGGAAGAATCACCAAGTGGTCCCTAATGATCAGGCAGTACAATGTGGAGTTCAAGCCAAGGCCGACGATCAAGGGGCAGACCTTTGCTAATTTCATCGCAGAATGCACTGCATGCACTACGGGAAAATCCCTGGACGAAAGCGACTTTGACAACCGGTGGGAAATGTACACCGATGGGGCCTCTAGTGCGCGGGGATGCGGTGGAAGAGCGGTTTTCACCTCCCCTGAGGGGTTCAAAGCCTATTACGCAATGAAGTTTGTTGGTCTCGTTTGTAATGGGAACAGTCTAGGGGGGGTGAATAGACTGTTCAGGAATTTAAACTTTTCTCTAAGTCAAGTCTGACTTATCAGAGATGGTCGAAATCTGGTGACAGAGATGGTCAAGTTGTGATGGCAGAACTAGACCAGGCAGCGGATAAGTTTCTGTCCGGGTAGCCTCTAGAAGAAAACTAAGACAAAATGCCTTTCTGATAACTCTGAAGGAAGATCTGCTGGACACAGAGTCCAACCTTAAGAGTTAGTCAGTAGAATCTTAAGTGCAGGAATTAAAAGCTTAAAGTAAATGACACCGGGGTTTTTATAGTGGTTCAAGGAACAACTTGTTCCTCTAATCCACTGTTCCACTAAGCTTGCAAAAACAACAGTTTACAACGCCTTAGTCCCTAGATCTTAAGAAGCACTCCTCGTCTTCTTCAAGTCTAGTTGCCACCCGGGATGCAGTCTTGCTTCCTGATGGCTGGTCTCGTTTCACCGAGTCTCTTGAAGTATCCCCACTTCACTTACTCCAGCTAGTTTGAGACGTCCCTTCTTTTTCAAGAAGTGTTTGATATAAAATCAGTTTTCTCCAACGTTGCTTCTTCACAAAGGATGAGTATATGAAGCTTTCGAAGTGTTGAAGAACTGAGTAACTTTGCAGTTTTCTAGTTGGATGAAGGATAGGAAAGTATATCTTCCAACTGGAGCCTTTTCTTGTCTAAGAATGAAGTTTGAATCTCAAGAAGGTTGTTTTTTACGCAAAGTTATGCTCTTAGTTCTTCAGAGTGTATCTTATATACTGGGAGCAGTCTTCCCGTTGGAGTGTAGAAGACAGCTTCATTAATTGCATGTACTGTTGACTTGACCGGTTGGACCTTCGACTTGCTATTTTGGGGGCGTAAAGATACTCGCATGGTCAATCATTAGCTTTAAATATCTCTTCGTACGTACATCATTAAATGTGCATTTAATGCGTGTACAGTGCCATGTTTCTGTTGAAAGGTTCGTAACCGTTAGGGGATTTCCCGTTAGTTTAACGACCGTTGGAAAGACTTCCGGAATCTGGTGGATTTAGCAGAGTCTAAAGAGGTTCTCTGGTCCAATCTCTGAAGTCCGTCTCTGTTGCCAACTCTGGTATCTTTCTGATGACCAGTTTCTGATGGTTTCTCTGGTGAGCAACTCTGGGAGCAACTCTGGTAGAGGCAAGATGGAACTCTAGCAGACAGACTAAGCTAAAACTTACAAAAGAAATTCTAATACACAATTTCTGATGGGGTACTTCCAAATTCTAATTAACCTAGCATCATCAAAATCTAAATTCATTTATTCCTTACAAAGTTTGATTTCAATGTGACCAATAATGAAGCAGAGTTGACGTATCAGCATATTGGAAGTGGTGTTAGCCACTTAAACTTACGTCCTTGTCTCCCTCATGAGCTAATGAAGTTTCATGAACTTTCTTCATTTCATTTTATTCTTTGAATGTTTTTTATTTAAAATAATAGCTGCAAAACAAAATGTAAATATATGCATAGAATAAAAAAAAAGAACATGGTTTAAAACAAAATGTAAATATATGCATAGAATTAAATATATTCATAGTATTAAAACAAAGAACGTAGGTGTGCCCTTTATTGTATGTCCATCAGAACATAATAATCCATATGTAGTTTAAAATTCCTTCTTTATTATGTGCCCATAAAGTGTCAGATGAAATGCCTAACCCATGTCATTTGGATTTTGGTACATACTCTACATATATTTTTGAGCAACAGTGAACACACATCACATGTTTTTACTCATTTTGCTGTTTACCATGTTTATTATGTCATTAATTATGATGACTAATGTCTAATTAGGTCCTTACTAATACAAAGACAATTTCATATGTGCAACAGTAAAACTTAATAGATGAACTACAACTTACTGCTAAAAATGTTTGTCATTCATGTGTAGGTTATTATGGTTACAATGGATCATGTTTGTTTGAAATTATGGCATGGTTTTTCATTTATAAGAAAAAGACAAGTTAGTTTATATCAATGGACAATGTATGACTTTTGAGGTAGATGCTGATGATTTGTGTTGGTTTTGGCTTGAGGACTTGGCAAAGAAATGTGGGAGTTACACTATTATTGGTGAAATATGGTATTTGGTTCCTGGGCTGAGCTTGGATAACGGCTTGAGGAGGGTTTATAATGATAAAGAGGTACTACAAATGAGTGAGCTTTTGTTGAAAGCTAGGTCCCTGGATATAAATGTGCTGCATGGGCTTGATCAACCTGAAATGGTGTTGATGTTACCACCAATTCTGAACACAGAAGCTGCCATAGAACCATCAAATATAGATCAAACGGTTGGTTGTACATTTATAGATTATGAGGTACACACACAAATTCATGATGATTGCGAAGCTGAGTTATCTGGTGAAACTGAATTTGAAGCTGTAGAAGATGAAACAGAAGATGAAGCTGAGGCTAGTGAGTTCTTATTCGATGAAAGAATGAAGATTTGGGTGACGGAGAAGTGGAAGTTAGTGATGATGAATATAAAACTGCAAAGCAAAGGGTTAAAGATTGCAATAAAAAAATTGTTTGGAACTGCAAAAAGACTTCAAAAAGAAGCGGAAGAAGGTACTCTTGAAGGTCTGAAAATGAAATCCCTTTCTTGTGGAGAACATAATACTCGTAATACAAAAGATGGTTATTTAAGTGAGTATGAGGACAGTGAGGAAGAAATCCACACTCCGTCAGAAGTGGAGAAGAAGACTTGATGGATAGGAAGAAAATAACAAGTACTAATTTTGTTGGTACAAATATTGACTTCTCAACGTTTGAGTGGAAGGTGGGTCAGAGATTTGCTACTCGGGAGGAATTTAAGAAGGCAATCACAAAATTTGCTATTTTACAAGGGCACGATTTGAGCTTTGCTCTCAGCAACAAAAAAGACAATAAAGGTTGGGGGTTAGATGCATAGATGGTTGTCCATTTAGGTTGTATTCCTCTTGGGATTCTACGAGAGCCACTTTTGTGGTAAAGACAGTTGTAGGGAAACACAATTGTCACAGAATATGAAAAGGAACAAACAATAAAATTCTACATGGGTTGCAAAACAATTTCTTGTTGTTTATAAATCAAGACCTCACTGGCCAGCTAAAGAGATCATGGAGACCGTAAAAAGAGCATACAGAGTAGTCATTACAAGGGACTTTGCATATAAGGTGATGTATTGTTCCCATAAAATGCTCCATGGATCAATGCAAGACCACTACAAAAAACTAGGGATATATTTAAGAGCTTTACAAAATTCTAGCCCTAAGAGTGAATTGCAATTTTGTTATTGATGGAAAAGATAACCTTCCTGTCGCGGTTTTTCAAAGGTTGTTCAAGTGCTATGTGCAATTGTTTTCTAAAAACTTTCCTTGGCGGACAATTGTTATCTGCAATGGGTAGAGATGGTAACAATCAGATGTATCCGATAGCATCGACAGTCGTAGAAGCTGAAAATAATCTGTCATGGGAGTGGTTCTTCAGTTCTTCTTGTTACTCCAAAGGTTTCTAGGAACCAATTACCCAAGACCAGTCCGGTCCAGGCCTGCACAATAGCGGGCCGAGCCGAGTCACATCCCGGGCAGCCCGAGCCCGTATTATCCCTAGGCGTGGTGCCACGGCTAATGTGCAGTCAGATTTTTATTTTTTCTAAATTGAGGCTTATCGTTTAAATTTTACTCTTTGAAATAAATGATAGGTGGCTTTATAACTAGTATATCTACGTGGCCATATTGTTAATTTCCACTTTTTCTAAATTGTGAAAAAAATCATCTACGCTGTTCTCATTAAATGTTGAAGTTTGGATAGGTCTTTATAACTAGTACTCCGTATTTTTTTTTTAATGGCCTCTCTTGTCTTCAAGTATTAAACTACAGGAATTAACAGTTCAATAACAAAGGCCAAAACAAAATAAATAGCAACCTAGCTTGTAGGCTTGCGGTGCACCTTTAACAAGATGTGTTGTCCTCGAGAGAGGAAGCCAAAAACCATAATTGAGATGCTCTAAATAGGTTTACAAAACAACATAACCAAAGAAAATGGAATACATACATCCTCCTAGTACAGGCGCTTTCGGCATTTTTCAGCACCACAATAACAGGCCAGCTTCTTTATCTGTCCATCGGCACCCAAGACGCTATCTACAGCATACCCATAATCATAAGAGAGCTCCTGCAAGTTATTGTAACATCTTCTACATAGTTAGTTGTAGTAGTTAAAAGTTGCAAAATGACAAGAAAGCCCAGGAAGCAGGTAACATGCAAGGAATTTCAGAAGAGTTCAAACAAGATTTAGAGCGCTTTTGGTCATCCAAGGAAAAAGCGCTTCAGAAAGAAAGGGGGAAGCAATTTTCAATGTAAATGATTATATGAGATGAGACTATAGACGCTTTAGAATAGGACAAAAATACCAGGCAGGTTTAACGGCATGTATAACTTTTATTTCAAGTAAACTGTAAAAGTGCTTTCAATTTAATACGTAGTAGCACATATGACTAACAAAAGGTGTTCCACATTATAACAAAAAGCCCATATAAGAAACCAATCAGCCAAAAACTTTTAAAGTTGAACCAATCAACAATAAATAATTACAGCCTACAAGTAAACAAGATAAACGAGTCAATGAGAAAGGATACCTGCAGCGGGGGGATGTTATCAGCAGCCATTAGCACCACACGTGCAAGCTTGATGTCGTGGTGGTTGCTTAGCACACATTGTACAAAGAGATTGGGTTGGCAACTGTGGTTGATAAACCTCGAGACGTTGCCACAAGAAAGTCCATCAATGCAGAACTCTGGTGCACTACTATCGGAAGCCTTCTCATCTCCTTTAGACAAATAGTCAGGCAATGAAACATCTCTCAACCGCCTCTGCAGAATGCAACTCTTAAACACATTATTATTCAAAAAACTTTTACATTCCAAGTATTATTCTAAAAACTTTACTTTTTAAAATGATTATTACACCATTTACTTTTTCTAAAAAGTCTAGAATGGTAGAATAACAACATAGCAAAATGAAGTTATACATGCCAAAACATGCCAAAAAGGGACAGAGAGGGTATTTACACAGTACATTGCAAAAATGAAGTTATACAACATAGCAGGAACCTAAGGACCACAATTGAGGGAAAAGGAAATTGCATAAACACCAACTCTAACAGTATGTCTGATTCTAGGCTTTAACACGGAAAATACACAAGAATATGATTTGTACTTCCTCTGTCCCCGCTTAATTTTCTCACTTGCTTCTCTTAGACGAAAAACTTAAATGTTCTCATTTCTATTTTAGGAAATAATGAACTCTATAAAATGACAACTTAATCATCAAACTTAAAAATAATAGAACTATAACATCACAGCTCTCATCAATGACGTCATCATATAATATACCCATCAAAACCAATTTTCAAAATATAGTCGAACATTCTTATTTAATTATTGTCTAAATAACCATGCTATATTTCAAAGAAAGGCTTAAGCCTAGACGGAGGTAGTACAGTAGTACTATTTTGAAAACTACTACTCCGTTATATTTACACATTAAATCTTTTTTATAAAAGAAATATACATAAAAATCATGAATAGGATAAAGTTTGTGGGCAACAAAATATTAGCTCAGCATCTTTTTCCATTTTTCCATTACAATTTCTTTCACTGTTTTCTTTCCTTAGAAATTGATAAACAATGTTTGTTGCACATTATGCAGTGTCTATTTATATTTGATGAAAGGGGCATTCCCATGGGTTTGCCTTGGTATCGTGTTCATACTGTTGTATAAAATGATCCTGGTCAGTTGTTTTCAGTTCATATTATGCATACAGCTCTGGCTGCGGCCTGCGGGGTGGGCAAGTTCCATGGCTGTGTATGAACTGGCAGTTTTTTATCCTTCTGACAACCCTGTTCTTGATCCAATGTGGAGACAGGGTAAAAGTCGCTCAGGTCTTTTTGTAAAAACGCAATACGACCTATTGGGAGCATTCAAATTATGAAAATTGTAAAACTCATATAGAAAGAATGGTAATAAATGTAAAGAGGCCTAAAAGATGTTAGGCTTTAAATTGGAAAATGGTATAGAAATATGGTAAAAATACTTATTTAAATTCATGTCTTTATTCTTTAATCTTTATATAACAGAAAAATATTACTCCCTCTGTCCCAGATTGATGGTCTCATTTCTTTTGGGCACAAGTTTTAATAAAGTGGTTGAAAAGGTAAAAGTTGTGGTTGAGATTTGAGTATAATAAAGTGAAATGATATGGACCACATCTTTCTTTCCAAAAAGGGAAAGAGGATCATCATTTTGGGACATCCCAAAAAGGAAATACAGGACCATCATTTTGGGACGGAGGTAGTAAAAATAAAGATCAACAGAAATAAGTGTGTATATATGTAATTAATGAACTGACTCAGAGTCTCAGACCAGATCTTTTTTCACCAAAATATAGGAAGAAACTAATTTACAAGATTTGTACCTCTCTTCCATCCAAGCCGTTCATTGTTTGCAAGCAGTCAATGTCGAAGACGTAATTTGTATCAGCAGAGGGATCTACTTGATCAGTCTTCATTAGTCTCCCAACATACTCACAAATGGGAGCACCAGAAGGTATATAATCCCATGATCTTACACCCCAACCTTTATTGGGAGTACGAAAAACCTGCAACAAGTTAAAAGGGGGCTGAATAACTAATTAACTTCAATACTACAGAATAGAAGAAAATATATATCAAAGTAGTTTAATGTGATTGTAATAGAACCTCAAGCCGAAACCTAATTCCTAATTGAGAGATCCGATTGACACATCCAGATCCACAACCACAATTTGGACCACACTCAAAAACAACTGCTTTTGGTTCTATGAGCCTATAAAAGATAGATTACATTGACAGTTTCGAATCAGTTATAGTTTGTCAAGGAATTTGAATGAGGATATTTCAATACAAAGACATAAACAACCTAGGTAGCTACGAACACACCTGCCACCATGTTTGGCTACATATGGAAAATCAAATCCGTTAAGTCTTGCACAAGTACATGTTTTGGGGTCAAAACATGAGCCCTTGCAATTGCAACCAGGTCCATTTGGAGGCACTGCTATATCTTTTGGCCATTTCAACTTCTTGATATAAGTGAAGCCTGTGTGGAAGTACATGTGTGATATAAAAAAGAATATGAGATGCTCAGATATTTTGAAAGATATTGAAGCACTACAAGTTAGGAGGCACGGGAACTCTCTATGGCTCACGTTTTCCTATTTCGGAAACTCAGAAGCGTTTGGGAAATTCGGAAACTTCAAATTCCTGTTTTGGGGCCATTAGTCCATGACCGCAATTAAGAAGAATTAAGAAATTTGTTTTCCTAAATAATTAGCATTTCGTAAACCTTGGAGTTCCAATTTTTCTCCCTTTTAAGTTTTAAGAGATTCTGCGATGGAAAATAGCGTCTTTTTAAAAAAGTTTTGTGAACTTTTATGGTATTTCTTCGCAACAACATTTTGACATTTTGTGCTAATATGTTACTTAGTAATGATTTCAAAATTTGAAGATGTAGAATGTTTTGATTATTGGGTCATTACGCAAGTTACAACGAAAACCATTTACATATACGAAAAAGAATTTATAATTATATCCTCATTTTTTAATATTTACGCATTTCCCCCAAGTTCTGTATCCTATATTTTATAGAAATTATGTTTCTCGCATTTCCCGTTTCTGATTTCATGTTTCCCGTTTTGCATCTCCGTGCTACTTAGACTGCAAGTGTATGAATTCATTGAAAACCCTTAGAAGGACCACCCACCTGGAGGTGGAATTGGTTCATCATCAACCAGATTAGTGGCTGGAATCCGGATGTCCTCTAGGCCACCAGATATATCCTCACATACCAACCTAAAGTTATGTGAAGGCATACATCACATTCGAGGAAGAATAATACTAAATGGAAGAAACACACAAAATACTCAACATAAAAGTTTTACCCTCGTATGTCAGAGACAGAATTTGGAATGCAACCTCGAACGAAATGAACCTAGAAAGGGGTGGAAAGTTGACCATAAATCCATAAACAAACACATAATATAACAATTATAACTAAGGTTTTGGTTTCATCAAAGTCGGGGTACACGTGCTTAAATATGAAAATAAGTAGAGGGAGAAGCTCTACTTTAACAAGTATGAGAGATCTTTTTCCTAAAATGACATGATTGAACTAGAATCCGTCCCACAAACACTCTTCACCTGTATGCGCTTCATAGAAAGTATCATTTCATGTATGTTTTTGCTGTGATAATTTTCATGTACATATACAAAAATGTAGAGATAGATTCCTATAAACAGTGTCACATTATTTGTACAGCAGCACTATGGTCAAAACTGAAATCCTTTCCTCATATGTTTTCACATTATACCAAGCACAAACCAAAATGCCATTATCAAAATCACTGGCAAAAGTAAAATTATAAAAACCTGGTTTGTAGTCAATGGAGGTTGCCCTTCAAGACGTTTAAGGCGAAACTTGAAGACAGTAAATCCTGAAATGCCTTTTTCAGCCCAATAATTAACAACCTATACAAGCAATACGACCAAAGGCATGAGCTCATATAAATCTCAGCAACTACATACAAGCTTTATTGTACCGATATATTAACACCCACTCTTCACCCTCCTAAAATTATTGTTCACTATCCATACGATACAAACAACAAACAACATACAAGCTTTAATCCCAGAAGTTGGGGTCATTCCTCTAGACATATTATTTAAGAATAAAAAAATGTACGATCGACATATATTTAAATAAATGTATGACAGGAGAACAAGTGTTTGGAAACCTTTTTGAGATGTATGACAGGGGAACACCCCAAGGAGTGAGCTAAGTAGATTCCTTTGGCAAATGGTGGTATAACAACAATTATCATTCTGCCACGGGGGTCACTCCTTATGAAGTCGTTTATGGCCAATCACCAGCTGCAGGCCTTCCTTATGTACACATGGGGAGAGTTTGGTAGAAGCAGTGGTTTGCAGCCTTATAGCTAGAGAGGAGTGCATTCAAATGATGAAGCTTCATTTAAAGCGTGCACAAGACAGAATGAATAGCCAGGCTGACAAACATAGGGTGGTTCTGTGGTTCACAGGAGCAACCAAAAGTCATCTCCCAGGTTATATGGACCCTTCGAGATTACTAGGGTTGGACCTGTTCCTTACAAGCTAAAGCTTCCGGAGCAGTCCGAAATACATCCTGTATTCCACATTTTACAATTGAAGAACGCCATGGAGACCCTCCTTCCACTTCCTCATTGTATTTTCTTTTTTTTGTTGGGCTGGTTGGTGTGTGTTGGGTGGTCTGGATGGGCTATGCTGGTGGGGGAGAGTGCTGGTTTACGTCCCTAGTGTCTAGTAGCTTCTGGCAGCTACCTTAGTGATATATGAGTATATTAGCTTGTTCCTAGCTCATTTGTACGTATGCATGGATTGATGTGAACTCCTTTCTTCTTCCCTACACTACCGTTACGTTGATCAACCAGTTTAGTTCGAAATCCTATTCTGTCTAAGGATTTCCTACGCAGTTTACTGCTCGTTCTTCGAATCATTATCCAGGAACCGTTGCACACACCAGCTGTCGCCATCTTGAAGTTCTTTTCGAACGATGCAATCCGGAAATGGAGATAGCTGAACTTGTGACCTGTCCCATCAGGCATCTGCAACATGCTCCTTTGAGATTCATATCTGATACCAAATAGATCTCGACGAAAAAGAAAATAAAACCTTCTAGTTTTTTTCCCCTATCAGCAGCATTCTCCATGTATGATCTCAAAGTTTTTTCTCGGCCATGGAAAATTAGGGAATGATAAGAAAAGACAAAGAAACCAAAGAGAAGAAAAAACAAAAGAATTTGAAAGAGAAGAAATAGTAAGAAACTAAAGAGAGGAAAAGAAACTGTAGGGGAAGAAAAAAGGGAATAAAAAATAGGGAATATGAAAACAAACAATCTCACCTTTTAGCGGTCTTCTTACAATGGTAAGATCTAACCGCAACTCAGGAATAATCTCACCTTTGCACCTCATTGTCTTCCAGCGGTCCGTGACTTATTGACGACCTGTTATTCCAAGTTATTATATTCTTTTCTTTGCAAAACATTAAACCATAAATCACACCTTTCACCTTATCTTCTCCCACGTATCATTTTCTTTTTTCTCCCTAAAAAATATCCTTTTATTTTTATCCCTTGATTCTTTTATTCCCTTTTTTCGTCTTCTTATTCTTATTTTTATTTCTTTTCCATGTTTATGTATTTCATTTTTTCCTTCTTTCTTCTTCTTCTTGTTTGTTATTTCATTTCCATTTTTATGTATTTTTCAGATTAGTTACCTTATATAAGATCTTTTTCTTACCCTACTAATTTTTTACTTTACTTTCTCTTTACGTCCACTACTATATATTTTGATTCCACCACTAATATATTCTTTCTTTTCTGAAAAATTCAATAAAAAAAATATAAAGTAGCCGGATAAAAAAAGGACTAACACGAATAGGAATACATAAAAAGGAAGGAAACAAGGAATACATAAACAAGGTAAATAAAACAAATTAAAAAAGAAGAAAAAGGAATAAAAGCATTGTGATGATAAGAAAAAAGAGAGAACTTTTAGGGAAGAAAAAAGAAAAGTCATATGTGGGACCGTTTTGAGGAGATCTATAAAAAGTGGGTCTTATGTTTTAATGATTTGCAAAGAAAAGAAAATAACCTGGAATAGAAGGTCATCAACTGGTCAAGGACTACTGATGAAAGAAGATGAGCTGCAAAGGTGGGATTATTCCGATACACATCATTTTGATAGTGTGTACCAGAGGCGCATAAAAGGAGCTTAGTTAATTAATTTTCCACAAGTTATCCTAATTATTTCCCTTTACATATTCAAGTTGTTTCCTTTTATTCTGCTTTCCTTATCATAGTTGTTTCCTTTTATAGTGATTTCCTTATTTTAGGCAGTCTCTTATCAATGACTCTAATAGTTTAGATTTGTTTCCTAATATTATTTAGGAACCTTATTTCTACCTATATAAGGCTTATCAGTTTGAATAAAGTATTAAGTTTGGATTATATAATCTCTTGATCTATTGGTGGAGCCAGGGACCACCTTCCTTGCTCAGGGCAGGAAGTTAGGGTTTTTTATTCCAACACCATAGCTTCAGATCCCGTCTTTCATTATCAATGGCCTTGGATGAGATCATGTACCAAGGCCCTTAACAATTTGGTATAAGCATCTTGTGGACCAGCGGCTCACCACCTCTCCTAAACAACGTTAGCTGAGCAAGCTTATGGGTTACGATTTCGAAGTTGAGCTTATGGGCAAGTTCATATTGCAGGTGACGCCTTATCACGCTGCCATGAAGATCAAGCATGCATTGCTGGCCTTTCTATTCCATATACATCTCTATTGGACAACATCTGCAAGGCTAAAGCAGGTCCCCCGAGATCGTCCAGCTACGTCATCAAATTGAATCTGGAAGTTTGGGTTCTAAAGTGGAATACTGTGAGCGGCTATTGTACGAGATTGTCAGGTATGTCAAAAACACAAGTGGCTTAACACACAACCAGTTGGCCTACTACAACCGCTACCTATTCCTACTCATAATTGGGCGGACATCTCAATGGACTTTATTGAAGGCCTACCCAAAGTCCAGGGCAAATCAGTCATGCTTGTGTTGGTGGACCGGCTTTCTAAGGCAGCTCACTTTCTTGCTCTGAGTCATCCATTCACTGCCATGTCTAATGCTGAGGTATTTTTCACAGAAATATTCCGGATTCATGGGTTGCCCGAGTCCATCGTCTCAGATCGTGATAAAAAAATTGTCATTGCATTTTGGAGGGAATTATTCTGCCTTAGCGTTATAAAGCTGGCTTTCTTCTCTGTCTATCATCCACAAACTGGTGGTCAGACAGAAGTTGGCAATCGCAGCGTTGAAATGTTTCTTCGCTGCCTCACAAGTGATAGAACCCATGATTGGGTACGCTGGCTGCCTTGGGTTGAGTATTGCTACAGTACTTCCTACCATTCGTCCCTTGGAGATACTCCATTTCGGCTTGTCTATGGCAGACAACCACCCTAGCTTGTCTTATACACCAGGAACCGCCAAACTGGACAACATTGACCATAAGCTCCTAGACAGCGATGCCATCCTCAGTGCTGCCAAAAGCCGCCTGACCCAAGTTCAACAGAGAATGAAGCTACAGTATGATAGCGGCCATCGTGAGGTAACATTCGCTCCAGGAGATTGGGTTTGGTTACGCACTCACCCTTACAGGAAACTCACAGTTAGTCGTGGTCACGACAAACTTTTGCCAAAGTTCTTTGGGTCTTTTCAAGTTTCAGAAGCTATTACGCACTCACCCTTACAGCCTGACCTTGCCACCGGATACCCGCATTCATAATGTGTTTCACGTCTCCCTTCTGAAACCTCACTCAGGTCCCACACCGGCACAAATGGGTGAACTGTCACAACAATGGTCAGTACGAGCTCTTGGTACATTGGGCGGGTAAACTGGAAGTTGAGGCTACCTGGGAGAATAATGCTATATTTCGGGAGAGATTTCCAAATTTCAAGCTTGAGCACAAGCTTGTTGCCAACGGAGGGAATAATGATACACATCGTTTTGGTCATGTGTACCAGAGGCACATCATAAAAGGAGCCTAGTTAATTAACTGTCCAGCAGTCTTAATTATTTCAATTAGTTATTGAAGTTGTTTCGTTTTATTCTGCTTTCCTTATCATAGTTGTTTCCATTTATTTAGCCTTCCTTATTTTAGGCAGTCTCTTATCAATGAGTCTGTAGTAGTATACATCTTTTTCCTAATATTATTTAGGAACCTTATTTCTGCCTATATACAGCTTATAAGTATGAATAAAGTATTAAGTTTGGATTAATTAATCTCTTGATTTACTGGTGGAGCCCGGGATCACCTTCCTTGCCTAGGGCAGGAAGTTAGGGTTTTTTATTCGAACATCATAGCTTCAGATCCTGTCCTTCATTATCAACGGTCTTGGACGAGATCCTGTACCAAGGCCCTTAACAAATTCCTGAATTACAGTTAGGTGGGACAATTGTAAGAAGACCACTAAAAGGTGGGATTATTAGTTTCCATTTTCCCTAAAAAATAAGTTGACCCGCCACCTAGGATGCATCAAGGTTATACCGGATAATTGTAAAGTGTTCCAGAGGTTAATTGTCTTATTATATATATATACATATTTATAGGGAAGAGTTCAAATAAAAAGACCTTTTCCCGTGCAAAGTGCGAAGATATTGTTTGCACTTTTTCGTGTTTTTGTTGCACTTTTTCAAGGTGGTGAAAAAGTGTGGTTTATTTACGAAATTGCCACCGTGATTTTGGTCGAATTTAGTGCATTTTTGGCTCATTTTGAGCCATTGGATGTGGAAATGAATGCACAAGATTCATTCTGACTTTGCATGGGAAGAGCTCTTCGTATTTGAACCATCATTTATATATATATATATATATATATATATATATATTCTCTTATGCTCTTGAATATAAAAGGGTATAGTTTCAAAGATGTTACACTAAAACACATGGAATTATCATGGTTTCTTCAAAGACTACCAAATGCTTCTTCTCTCCAACACGAATATAAAGGTTATCAGGAACTATCGTGCATGCTCCCCCACTTGACATATCTCTGTTGTTGATCTTGTTCTCAGGTATTTACACAGCACTTCCAATTTTGGTCTTCTCTTACAACCATCTCCCGACCACATTGCTATTCTTACCCATTCTGATTATGCTGTACTTTTGGGATCTGATTTGGTCTCCTGGTGATATAAGAGAACACCTACAGTCTCACGTTCCTCTACTAAAGAGGAATACAGGGCTATTGCTTTGTGATAATATCTTTGCCTCCTATCTCCCAGTCAATCCAATTGCATGCTGGCATCGAACACATCAACATTGACTATGAGGAAACATGTTGCTCGTGGGAATCTTGGGATTATATATATCCTTTCTCAGCTTCAGCTTGCAGACATTTTTTATTACTAATTTGTCAGCTCAGAGGTTTCAGTTTCTACCGTAGCAATCTGCGCATGGGTCTCCAACTCAGATTGAGGGGTGTAATAATGTAATATTAATATACGTATTGTACTGTTACTTTGTTAGATAACCTTGGTATTTTGTATTTCTAATTCTTCTAAAGATTCTCTTGTACTTTAATTATTATTTAACACACGCACGCACACACACACACACACACACATATATATATATATATATGATATCGGAGGGTTACCAATTTGATTGGATGTTCTCACAGCATGTTATAAAAATATTGCTATGTAGTTAAACTATGTACTGGTTATTATTCTTCAAATAACCAAACCACATCAATCATCCTCTTTTACTTTGTATCTTCCAAAACCTTGGATGAGATTATACACAACAGCCTTTAGCAATCGCCACAGAGAAGGTAATAGCAAGGTGTATTTTTTTAAACAGTGGAAATCTGGAAAGAGATGAAGCATTGACCTTGTACAAACCATCATAGGTGTAAACCTTTCCCACATAACTACTCTGACATCGATGTCCACGTACAAATCGAACAGGCACAGATTGTTCCATGCAGTTCTGTAAAAGTACCAAAATGCCTATTAGAACAAACTGATTAAGCTAAAGATGAGTGGTCACCCAATTGATTAAATAAAGGGTTAAACCTGTTTTTAGAGCCCGCAAATACGAAACATTTTACTAAAGATATTGGCAAAATATTTTTTCCAACCTAGTAATATGCACTATTTTCTTTTTAGTACATCTCTAACTCCAAGACCACTTTACTTAAAAAAAATTATCTTCAATAAATCTGGTAGACTTTAAAATTCCATTTTATAACTTTATTGAGGCTTATATGACAGTTAAAATTAAGTAAAACTAATCATTCAGATTTTTAAAATAGGTTGTGAAATGGAGGTTGTTATGATCGGTAATGGACTAAAAAAAGCAACATAAATTACATGAATGAAAAGCAAAAAATGCAAGTAGGTTTATCAAAATGCAATATATTTACAGGTGTAAAAACATATTTAAGCCTTAAATAAATCAATAGTAAATACAACAAGAAGTGAGCAGCAAGTGTGGAAAGATAGAACATAAGTTACAAACCTTGAGGCCCAGGTTACCCCTTTGCATTACTTGGTCTTTAATTTGACATTTTTTCCCCAATAAATCATTCCCACCTTGACCCGTGTAGACAACTTCTTCATAGTTGTCCTGGTCATCCTCATACTGGCCTGATAATACAATAGCTGTTGCAAGAGGCATTTTGTATCCTTCAAACTCCTATGACGTGAAGAAACATTTAGGCATGCGGGGGTCTTTTTATGTTCAATCTCACCGGCAAAAAGTTAAATGCAAAAGCTATAGATGAGCTGTAACGTACTCCTCAACTCCTTGAGTTATTATATAGTGAAAAATAATGCAGTAGCAGGTTATATGATAGTGAAACTACCTCCTATGGGAACTTGAAAAATACATCAGTCAGTAGCCTTGGATAAGAATGAAAGCCCAATATGTAATGGAAGACTGTAATAAAGCTCGAAAAAACTGTTGGCATAGAAGTCTATGTTTACAAGCTCTAAGCACTGCTGGGCACAATGACGGGTTGTATAGTGTTGAGCTAAATGGTGTTTTAGTAATGAATAATACGTAGTAATAGATATTTATAATATTTATTTTGAAATTCACAAGTGTGTAAACGTGTAAATATTACAAGTGTTTAAGTGGTCATGTAAAGTAATTTGGATTCATGTAAATTGGTAAAATCCTAACGCCTCGAGGCCGTGAGGTATGACATGATCTACATGTTACTTCGTTAGGCCAGCAGTGCACCAAGTACAAGGAAAGTTGCATGTTTGATTATTACAAGGCCGTGAGGTATTGCAACATGATCCTATAATCCTAGGTTGTACAAAACAAAAACAGAGCATGACTTGAATGAGATCTTTGATAAAAACAGATAATAAAAATCAACAGAACAAACAATTGCCCAAAATAATCAACGATAGAAACCGTTGCCCAGAGGCAAAAGGCTAAACTCCAATTTTATTCATAGATGATCCAGAATGAGTCCTAACAAGGGGTATAAATACCCTTCTAGTAACAGACTCAACAGAAACCCTTATCGAGCCTAAATTAAGTAAACCCTAATTAAGCCCAAATTAACTCTACTAAATACTCCACTAATAATAGGCCCAAACTAGAAAACATAACATAAACTTTATAATAATAAATAAAACTATAATCCCAACCCATAACCGGCCCACGAAGGTGGGTCCAAGCCCGTTCCCGGACCCTGCCATCTATCCATCCATCCTCCTTTAAAATAACCTTGTCCTAAAGGTTGAAATCTCGTAGTTCAAGGGTTGAAAGTTCTAGTCTTAGAAGTAAGGATAGACTGAAAAATATCCCTCATCTCCTTCCGGACTCCCTGGCCTTTCTAAACCTTTTCCTGACAGGTTATTTCACAAAAATCATGTTGTTGGAGGTCCAACTCTTCATCCTCATCAGCTATCATCACTTGTAAGTTACAAGTTGTAACTGCTTAATGTCATGCCCTGGTGTAAATAGTTTCTTACACCTAAAGCATAACCCTTTTGCCCGCAAATCTTCTAACTCCTTTAGCGGAAGTCGAGTGAACCTAGAGCGTGCAGTAGACTGTCCGGACAACCCTGAATTTGTCCCCGAGGGCTGATAGAACTAACCAATTTTACAGAAAATTTCACAAAGAAATATCAAGAACAAGAACTGCAAACTTTATTGAAGAAGACAGCAACAATGGCCGAAGCCCCCAAAAGAAAGAGACGACTAATCTCTAAGTTTCCCAGTCCAGACTACAATAGTCAAACAGCCTGCTCCTATCTTTCAACTTTATTCTATTTATAGTATTACAACTCAACCAACTTTAGTTAATAGCTACTAACAGAAAACAACTAATAACAAACTATTCTATTTATTTCTTCTAGTATCTATCATTATTACTAAAAGTAATCATATCCCTATCAAGGGCTGTCCAATGTCTTTAGGAAAGCTGCCACTCGATCCCCTTAAGCTGCTACCATTTATGGTCGTGCTGTTACCGCCACTCGGGTGCAAAAAACTGCCCGAATGCGAGTCCGTGTAGTAAGGTTGGCTTTCCCAGCCTCCATCTTTAAAGGACATGTTGTCCTCAATATCTCTGGCCAATTCCATTGCTATCTTCAGGCTGTTTGGCCGCAGCAACCGCAAGTATCCCCAAATTGGTCCCTTGTTCGAAATGGCCAATCGACTGGCCACTCGTTCGACAGCCCGGGAACTTGACTGGCCAATCGAACAAAAAAGTTATTATATTCCTCTACAGTTTTCAACTGTTTGACCCCGGACACTCGTTCGAAATGGCCGTCTTTGAACCATTAAACGAAACAGGCCACCAGTCCTTGTGTGAATTCTTCCAAGGTCATGCCCGGTTTCCGTGCCTTCAACCAGGTCAACCAGTAAAGGAAGGGAGTCCCTTCCATGGCTACCATAGCTGCTGTCGCTTTTCTTCCAGGTGGGGTTTGATTGATTTCAAACTGTTGCTCAGCCCTGGCCATCCATCTAATGGGGTCTTCTCCGTCGAACATTGGCAGCAAGGTCGGTGTGGAGCTGCGTGAATTTCCGTCGCCACTATGTGCCGCTACAGCGGCCCTAGAGACCGTGGCCGACGAGCTGTCCACAATCGCCGGCGGTATGAGTGCCTTGGTGAGCACCGTTAGTGATGCGGCGATCGCGGCCAGTTGTATGTCGTGTTCTACCAAGGTCTGGTTCATCCGGGTTTGCTCGGCCTCCATCTCTGTCAAGCGATCGCTGCGAGATATCGTCATTCCGCTGGGGCGGGATCCGGCAGGTTGGACCAATTGATAAAAACAAGAAATAAAAATCAACGGAATAAACCGTTGCCCAGAATAATCAAAGATAGAAACAGTTGCCCAGTGTCAAAAGCTAAACTCCAATTTTATTCATAGATGATCCAGAATTAATCCTAACAAGGGGTATAAATACCTTTCTAGTAACAGACTTAACAGAAATCATAATCGATCCCAAATTAAGTAAACCCTAATTAGGTCCAAATTAACTCTACTAAATACTTTACTAATTATAGGCCCAAACTAGAAAACATAACATAAACTTTATAATATAAATAAAACTATAATCCCAGCCCATAACCAGCCCACAGAGGTGGGCTTAAGCCCGTTCCCGACTCCTGCTCTCCCTGCTCTATCAATCTTCTATATTTTCCATTATTTGATGTAACAATACCAAAGGCAAAACATAGTACCTTTTGTTTTGTTTGCCCAATGTAATCAATGCCATTGAGCCAATGGGTATGGAATCCAATAACAACCATTTCACATCGAGAGAAAAATTGATGTCCAACTTCAATCCCTACACCAGAGAAACAAATACAACTTTATAAACTAAAATTAAAAATGCTATATCAGATTTTTAGGGTCTAGGGTTTTGGGGGTTTAGAGTTTAGGAAACAAATAATTTTCTTTGAGAGATACTGTATGAAAACACTTTGATACCTGATGTTTCATGAAATATAATCTTTTCCAAAAAATTATCCTTGCCCAAAGTACATACCATTGTCAATTATTCAATTGATTTGAACTTTAGAGTTCAAATAATTAATTATAATACTCCTTCCGTATTGAAATAATTGCTACACTTTTTTTTTGGGATGTATTTTGATTTTTGTTACACTTTATTGATAGTTTTCCCATTATAAAAAAACTTAATTACCTTTACAGTTTGCCTTCTCTTTCATAATTTTCCATCCTCTTCTACTTCTACACTATTCACTACCCCTGTTATTTTTCTCTTAGATACTGTGTCAAACCATATTGTAGCAAACATTTCAATATGGAGGGGGTAACAGTATAACTTCACTCCAACCAAAATTAGTGATTATTGTCATCTAAAATATTAGGGTATCCTTTCCTTGGTTTGTGTTCAATCCATATTAAAAATGTAGTTTGCCAGTAAGTGCACTACTACAGTTTTGGCAGAAGTGATTGGAAGAACTATAAAACTTATCTTTCATTTTAGACCCTATTCCTTGTGCATATAAGAAGCTAAACCCTCATCGTTCCATCAAGTCAATGTGGACACGCCTAGGGTTGGTAATTCCACATTATGAATTGTGTAAGTAAAGTTAAGAAAAAGGACAATGCGGGTTGTGGTCGCAAATCATTATCTTTACAATATCTCTCAACTTTGAGTCAATTTTATATGCTCTATTATTTTACTTTTTAGTTTGCACCACCTTTCTAATTGTCATCTGTTTCTCAAAACTTTTGCTTCTTCTTTTCTGTTTTATATAAAAAAATCTTAATTCTTGTTTTATAATCAATTGGATAACAATATAGTTAAAAACGTCTATCTAACTCGTCTATTAATACTACTGCATGTTTTTTTAAAATGGGAAATATGTATTAGTGCACTTGTATAAAATGTTAACATATATTTTGTATAATAGTTCTTTTTGGATAAAGTTTAGATGTTTTTGTTTTTTTTTCTTTGTGATTTATGTTTAAAGAACTTGGAAAATGGGTGAGCTATGTTTCTCCAAAGATTATTCAGTGAATCAATAAAACATAACTGCTTTTATTAATTTAGTTTTATTAATTCAAATTGTAAAAGGGTCAAATAGGCCCTCGAATTAACTTAAAAAGTGCAAATCACCCCTTATATAGGAGGATCTGTCCGGTCGTCGCCATTTGGGGTAGTTCCCGGTGGATTTTTTTGATGAAATTTTTTGAGTATTTTCTTCATCAAGTTTAGTTTAACCATACCAAATTTCAGATAAAAATTCAATCGGGAAGACGGTCAAATGATTTTCTGAAATGTACTGTGTTGATTAACTGCGCAGTTATCTTCAAAAATTCATTTGACTGCCTTCCCGAATTAATTTTAGCTGAAATTTGGTTTGGGTAAACTAGACTTAATGAAGAAAATGCTCAAAAAAATTCATCAAAAAATTCCACCGGAAACCGCCCCAAATGGCGACGCCCGGACAGAGCCTCCTATATAAGGGGTGATTTGCACTTTTTAAGTTAGTTCGAGGACCTATTTGACCCTTTTCCCTTATTTAAATTGTTTAAGTTTATTGAGCTATAGTAAAACAAAACATTGAAAATTAGTACTACCTCCGTTCTTTAAAATTTCATGTTTACATACACACAACTTTGAATGTAGTTATATTTAATTACATATTAATAATACTTTGTACATTATAATTAGATTACATATATTAGTAGAAAATCTTGATCAAAGTAAGGTGTGTAAATAATGCAAAATTCAGAGTTTTGCATTTATTAAAAAACAGAGAAAGTATAAAGATAAATAATAAATAAAGAAATTTGTATCTATGATTTTTGTAAGTTTTTGTTGTTAGTTTTAAATCAGTCAGTACCTAAACCAATATATTTTATCTTTTGATTCTTTGATTAACATAACTTTTGAGTCAGTCACTCCGTAGTAGAAAAATAACCAACACCATTAGTGATAGATCGTTTATAAATACTACTCCCTCCACTTTTCTTAATAATCACATCACTCCACGCACAGTAGTAGTACAAGATATCAAACAAATTTAGTTAGTAAAAACATACGGGATAGTATTTATATTTGAGATTTCATTCTAAAAGATTAAACTAATAAGAAAATTAATTAAGAATTTTATATATTATTTTATTATTGTATAACAAACCAGTATGGGACAATGTACTCAATAATCTCTCACGAACAAACATTTGTAAGGTCGTTGCTTCATCGTAATTCGATATCATATCAAAACTTGCAGTTCCAGTATTAAATGGTTAAAATTTTAAGATCTTATACTTTATTTTGTTATTATTAAATACCAAATTGGTTTGGGACAATATCCAACTGACAGAGCACTTAAGGAAAGTTCATCGACATTTGTTGATACAACCACCAACGACTAGTTTAAAGAAAAGAAAGTTAAAACCACAACCTGGTATGTCACCGATTGCTTTTGTAGTTTGAAGTAGCTCTTTATTCTGTCTCATCTGCAAGCATTTGAAAATGGCACTGAAATTAAAACTCATATATTGTACACTGTGTTCAGGTAACACAATAGATGCATTTATGAAGTCATGGATAAGCATTTACAGATAAAGACAAATTTGCTAGGCACAAATGGAATCAATTATCTACTAAACATGAAGAATTGAAGTTGTGGCGTAACCACAAAATGGAATCATTGTGCGGGAATGCTAGATATATAAAGAGTGACGCTTCACACAGAACCATTAATATGCTAGGCAGCAAACTCCATCCATCTAGCCCCAAAGTTATGGATTGTTAGATAGAATTTATGTTTATTCAATTTGTTTTAAAACTCTTGCTATTTATGTTTTGCTAGTTTTGGGCATTTGAACAAGGGAACCCTTCTAGCATTCTTGAGATTGTATACTATGAGTAAACAATAGTGAGTACAAGCTTATACATATTATTATAAGCCTCGTGAATCGTGATGATGTTTACTCTCCGAGTGATCAATTAATTGGTTTGATATATACAAGAAACATAAGCTTTTAAGAGACCGTCTCACTGATCTCAATCTTTGATAAATATCGAGCTGGAACAAAGAGCATACTCTCCCTATCACTTCTGTCAGTTTGTTAATAACAATTCATCCCGACTCATCCTTCTGAGCCTAGACGCTAGGCTTCCATTGATAGTACACTCCCTCTATCTTTTTCATATTTCTGCTCTATCTAACACGACTAGAACCCACATAAACGTCACCTAAGCCCGACTAGAAGCTAGGACCCAGTATACCGCTTAGAGCTTCAAAAAGATATTATAATTATTAATGTAGCTCATATCAGTTTTAGTCACAATCCTAGGCTTCCCTTTTGTCCTGAGATTTATTCCTGTAATGATCTTGAACGAGACCTCTTAGTCTTGTAGGTCCAACCACATGCAGACCCTAGGCCATTATGAGGTCAATTTAGAAACTTTTCTACACACTGTTTTTAAGTTAAAACATGTGGTTAAACCATCAACTGTAGTGTAGAATATATCACTTTTTGCTACCATAAGGAATGAGAGCGGGAGTAATGAGAAGATACAGAGGAGAGGAGTATATGGAGGTTAAAAGAAAGGAAAAGCGAAATGTGAAAGAAACAAAAATAAGTGGACAAGGAGTTATATGAAATTTTGATTCTAAACAAGGGAAAAAAGATAATTACTTACGCCTCTTCGAGATCATAGGAGTCGGGATATCAAAAAAATTAAATGTAAGAAATTGTCGAACAAAGGTACTACTGGATGATGAAAATATAAAAAAGAGATAAGGTTTTACTTTTACACATTACATAATGTGAAAAAGCACAAAATATCGGTGATCTTATTATATGAGATTTTATGAAAAATAAAAAATTTATGAGAAGTATTCAAAAATCAGATGTTGAAGAGGTTCTGGAAAATATGGGGAGGAAGGAAGTTGTGGGTTCATATGACACACTGAACGAGGCCTACGGATGTAGAAGTATGGTGAGAGAGATGTCGAGCGGTTAACACTTTTCTTGAACAAGATTTGGGAAAGTATCCAGAGTATGTATAAAAGAGTGCTTTTATCCCTTTATTTAAGAATAAAGGTGATATACAAGATGGGTGAATATCAAGGGATTAAGCTTGGGAGATACTTTGGGAGCGAATGATTAGCAAAGGTTACGAAAAGAATCAATTCAATTTTATACAGAGTCACTCAACAGTCATTCACTTTCTTAAAAACTTGTGAAGAAATATAAAAATATAAATAAAGACCTTAATATGGTGCTCATTGACTTGGAAAGGTGTATCATAGGGTATTTTGAGAAGTCCTTTGGTGCGACATTATTTAGAAAAGGTATATAACACAAGTATATCAACATCATCATGGATACGTATAAAAGTTGTTTTACAAGTGTGTGTACTTGTGTAGGGAGGATAGTTGAATTCCATATTACTATCGAAGTGCATTGAGGAATAATTTGTGTTCTTTCTTATAAGTCATAGATGGGCCAACCAAGTCAATTCAAGAATATATACCATGATTCGTGATGCTTAACATCAATGTTGTGTTGATTGGTGGAGACAAGATCAAGTGTTAAAGTGAATTTCAAATTATGAAACAACCCCTGTAGAGCAAGGGCTTCAAGTTAGCCCAAAATAAGGCCAGGTGTATGGAGCAAGTTAGGCGTAGAAACGATGATAACAGTAGAATTACCCTTGATGATGAGGAAATCGCAATAACTGATGTATTTTGTTATCTGGACTCCACAATTCAAAAGGATGGAGAATTTAATGGAGAATATCAATTATCATCCATAGAATTAAAAAGGATGATGAAATAGAAGAGTGCATCAAGAATTACATGTGATCGAGGCAAGTACGGAGCTAGGGAGGGGCCAACCTAGGCCCCGGCCCACCCCAAATTTAAAAAATGTCTTTATTTTTAGTGTTAAAAATTCCATGTAAATTTTTCTTCAAATATGTTCTTTGTACTGACCCATTCTGACAAGGTGTCGTGTGCTCTGCCCTTGGACCAAGGTATAAGGGACAACAATCAAGTCTGCCTTATTGTTGCGTTAGACATATAGACTCACTAAAACCTATTGATTGTGGTAGTTTGGTAATTTTTTTAGAAGGTCAAGTGATGCATCTTTTAGATGAATCGTGAGGTGGGGAGAAGACACTGGAAGAGAGGGAGGGAAGACCTAAATAGACTAGGATTAGATTGATCAAGAATGAAACGTTAAATCTTGGATTAGATGAGATTATAACTTTGGAGAGGAAAGAATGAACGGATAATGAATGAGTGGGGAATTGGTCTTATTTGATTATCCCTTTTTCTCTTTTTATTATTTTTAACTTCGATATCATATAGGTGTCAGGGGAATACAAATTCTTTTGGAAATAAGGATAGGATGTTGTGTGATAACCAAATCAAATATTCACTATAGGGACAATGTAATGTTCTCCTGTGAAAAGCTGAAGTTCAAATCTTATGTTTTACTTATTTTCCAGCGCTTAAGCACAGACATTTGGCTCTCTTTGCCTTCTTAAGTCTTATGTGTAAAAGGCACAACAGAACATAAAACATATACAGTAACTGTTACGAGAGTCACAAAACAGGAAAAGAGCTGGGAAATGTAAAGACAAGCCTTAGAAACTGCTTTTAAATCTGGTCGCTTTGAAGGTCTTTTATAGACATCATCTCGCGCAGCACGACTTATCTGCACATATGGAATCATTTCAGGTCTTAAAATATGAGAGTTTCAAAAATCGGTTCAGGCAAAACTCAATTCAACTTCACACTCGCCTTTGCTGCTTCCAACACCTTAACTCTTGATTCTTCCTCCTATATACAGCAATAGAGGAAAAAGTTAGACAGTTGTGCTATTGTGCAACAATCGATTAAAGGCATATGCATTTTGTGGCCATATACCTGCACACCAAGCAAGTAGTACTTGTTGAAGAGTCTAATCTTTTCTGTCAACTTCAGAGAAGGGGGCTTCTCACTGTCGATGGCTACTAACTTCTCGCAAGAGCTGCCGGAGGAAGCAGCTTGGGAGACTTTCGGAAGCTTTGCTTTGGCTTTAGAAGCCTCGTTCGTTTTTCTCCTCTTGTAAACGCCCGCGTCTCTTTCGCCTTCAATCTCCTCCTGACAAACTCCCATTCTAGGGGCAGCTTCTTTCTTCAGCTGCTGGACTCTCGCGCTCCTCCGTCTAACATCCATGGCCGTAGAGATTCAAATTTTGAGTTAGGGTTTTTCTGGAAGGTATGCAGTGAGTGTCTGTCTACAAATGAATGGGATACGTAAGAGTCTAGCATATGCTACCAAATTTGAAAAGCTGAAATTGAAATGAATTCTAACCATTCATCTTCCCGCGTTCGTTTTCCTCGTTTTTTTAATATCGTTCGTTTCTCCAATTAAGCAAAGCACATACTTCGTATTTTGAATTTCCCAGTCCGTAGGTTTATAATATAGTGTCATCAACTTTATAATTTGAATATAAGTTATTATGATTCTATTTGTTATGTAATTATGGATGTCCATTAGTTCATAGTCCGAGCTCATATGTACTGGTCCATCTGATGATTGTAATCCTAGCTCCTCTCCTATATATACATCCTCATATATGAATGAAAGTATGCTTTTTGATCTTGTTTATTACACGTTATCAGCACGCTCTAAGCTGTGGCCTGAAGTTTTTCTCTTGTCGTCGTTGGTTCACAATTCGACCAAGCCAAAGCCGCCTAAGCCCATCCTGATCGTTGTACGCCCATGGGATTCCGTCGTTGGAAGATAGCGACTGCCGGATCCCGTCGTTGAAAGACGTCGTACGTGGGATCTGTTGCTGAAAGTCGACACTATTCGCCGGGTCTGGCGCTTAAGACCATTGCTGCTAGAGGGTGGCTTACGTACTACAAATGGAAGTTCTCCTGCGCAATTCTCCAAGAGACCAGAGGAGAGACGGGTCAGAGACCATGATTGGGTCGGATTCCTGAAATTGGGCAGCATACGGGTCAAACCTGGCGTTCATACCTCAGAATAAAGTTGTTGCAAATAGCATTCCAGGTATATTTCTATTCGAACTGTTTTATCAGGAGTATGTGTTAATTGATATGTATATCAATGGATTATAAGCGTCCAGGTCTTGAATATTTCTAGTCAATAATATGTCTAGTACACGTGTGTATATGTGCCTACTTTACGTGTTACGATGCTACCACCATCAGCCACGGCCATGGCCATTTTCAATTAGTACCTCTAATTCTAGTATGCAAATATGTGTACTGAGGGGCAGGCGATTTCCATTATGCAAATTTATGAAGATGATATATGTTCACGTTCTGATTCAATAATAAAACATTGTTGACCATCCCATCCCTATTGGACTACTGTTGTCCGACTTCTTAAATAGAGAGACTACTTTGTATACAAAAGCTCTACTTCAAATACATGTATGAAGAGTCTATTAAAAACAACGGTTGACGAAATTCAAGAATATGTGTTTCCCAAAACATGATTGTTTAATTACCAAGAGTATAATAACTTTTTTTTGCATAGACGCGGGAAAAAAAATCACTCATTTAGCCCAACAATCTTTTAACAAAACAAAATTATTTAAAACATGTAGTGGAGCAACGTTAAAATAATTGAGAATACTTGAAATGAATTTATTTCATAATTTGCTTTCTGAACGTTATTATTTTACAAGTTCACTATATTTTCATTGCTTTTGTTACTTGAAAAATTTCTGCTGAATTTTAATAACCGATTGGAGCTTTATTTTACCATTAAATGATATTAATTCCTACATTAAATTTCCACACGTTGCACAAATAATGAGGGCCTTAGGTGCTTTCACTTTGGAATCCTATTATCGAACATCTAAACTCATTTTATTTGCTTTATTTCAATGATCTAGACTATAATGTTTGGTAACCGTTGGATATTAATGATTGTCTTTAACATTTTTATTAATTGATATACTAATTGCAAATTAATTTTGCAGTTATAACGTTACTATGTACTATTAATTGAAGTACTAACGTTTATTTTGTGACTCAAGTAGTTCATGATTCGTATATTTTATTTATCTTATATCATCTTATTCAGTAGAAAGTTTATCTTTATGTAAGAAAACTTATTTTGACTAGAGAGAATAATTTGAAAAATACGCTCATGTGTAAATGAGCTTCCTGTGATTTTTAATTTATTTTATATAACTCTTTCATAAGTTTTTAGAAGTATGAACTTTGCTAATCCTAACTAGACATTTATGTTGGGTGTTAAAGTTTAGTATGAATAATATTTATTCATATGAGATTTAAATTGTTTTAGTAATCTTACTAATTTATCTCAAATCGTAATTTGAGAAATTTAAACATCATGATTGGTTAGATACATATTTTATATAATCACAATTTGAATCATATATTACGTATGAGATATCAATTAAGTCTCACTCCCATAGTAGCATTTTCTGAAGTTGTTTTTGAATTTATTGTTTAATAATATCCTCCTGGTACCTTTTCATTGACTTGATCATGTATGATAGATATGTTTATCAATTTGTTAACATCTCATTGCCTTTTCCATGCTTATTTGTATTATTATAAAAAAAATTATCTCATGCTAATTTGAGTTAATGTAAGCATTGAGAAAAGTACATACATTGGAGGAGATTATAGGTACGTTCCACATATTTTTGTTTGTAATTTAGTCTTTTTTTGGAACATAATATGATTACATATATTTTTTTTATTTTAAACTTGATTGTTGAATATTAATCGATAAGTTAACGTGACTCATATAACATCCATGTTTGATAAAACACTTAAGGAGGTGGTATACTTTAAGAAAATGCATGATTAGCAAACATGATATAGACTTTAACTATATTCAAAATATAGTTAAACATTGCTATGGAAACGGAAATAATGCCTAGCAAACCACAAGTTATTGTAATTATGTACAATGATTTTCTCAAGTTAATCTACTCGAGAGGGCGAGAAAACATGGATATATGAAACTATAACAAACTGCCAGAAGTCACTATAAGAGCATAAATTTGATGTACAAGTGGGTGTGTTGTGAACATGAAATTCTCACATCACTATTAGTGTGTGTGTTTATAAGCGGGGTTTGAAGCCCTTGTGGAAGCGTTTTAAAGCCTTGAGGTCCTGAAGTACCAAAGCGGACAATATCCACGAGTCATTTTATTATACGTCAAGGTAAATTTCGAGAAATTCATTTAAGTGAATACTTTGAGACAAGTATTTAAGTATTTTTTAACAAATTTGATTATTTGATACCTTTTATGTTACTCCAGAAGTAGCATTATCTGATCTTTAGACTCTTCATATACATTTCTAGGTGAGTGATTCGTATTGTTTCTATGAAAGTAAGAAATAACTATATAAATGATTATTTTAGAGACAAATTATTTTTGTCTTCGGGATGATATCATGCCCGAAGCATGTATATACTTGTGGCATGGAGACTGAAAGATATTAACTTTTGATAGAGTCATACAGATTAGGGATAAAAAGTAATGGAAGCACAAATTATGTTTATAAACAAGTTGTGCACATAAATAATAATGATAAAATCCCAGGCATTAAGTGTAAGCTCAAAGAAGCTACTCAAACACTGTGAAGTAGTAGTTTGAAAAGTGATATCATACTTATTGGGTGATAGTTTGAGACCACACCAACGCAGTTTAAATTGTGTTTCCATAATATCTGCCTGTAGCAGAATTCTCCTCACGCTATACTATATATACTTGAATAATTTAAACATGTGTTGCATGAAGTTTAAGATTTTTGAATAAATGACCAATTTAAGGTCAACCCAGGTTTAAACCAAATGACGTATAAGACATCCAGTAAATAAATACTTCTTATATAAGAAAATGACAAGACCGTCTATTCTCCCAAATATTTTAAAAGTGGATCCAAGGGAGTTAAGTGAACTTGAAGTTTCACAATGTGGGTTAATATCAAGTTTGGTCTCAAGATATGCTCTCTTGAAATGTCTACATATAATGAGTGGTATAAGACCATTTTGCCGGCTTCTATGAAATATAGTGAAGAGCATAAGGTAACCGACAAAATATATCTAGCATTATAAGATGAATGTTACGCCTGAGATAAACTGCTAGAAAGTTGCTTGAATATGTGAAGAAAATCTAGTTTATATTAATTCGGCATTTGTTAACAACTAACCCCCAAAGTTTACACGTTAAAATGAGCCAAAGTGTGCCAACCTTGAAACCCCACTACGGAAATGATGTACGCAGACCCCAGAAGTGGCTCCATATGTACGTAAATCCTTGTTCAAAAATATTATGGCACATTTCCTGACATTAGGGGGAGATATAAATGCATAAGCATAATTATATTTTGGAATGTCGGGAAAATATCTCAGAAGGATCGATTGATATTAAAAGAGAAACGTGTAAAATATGATAAGTAAACTGCCAAAGTGACTAAAAGAAATGATTATAACGATTGAGCTCAACCGATGCATGAAGCATGGTTAGACGGTCATTACGTGTATACAAATAAAACTGTTTTTATTTTAGGAAGTCACGTATGCCTCTACAAGAGGATGATATAAGTCAAATGTTGCAGCTGATGGTTATAGAAACTTTATGATACAGAACATGAGTTCCTCTTTTATGGCTCATATAGAGGACTTTGATGAAACAGGAATCATAGTTATTATATTGACGTCAATGATTTATTTTTCCAAGACTATCGATTCATAATCCATAATAATAAAGTCTGGCCAGACGAAATATGATGGACCTGTAGTCCTAAAACTTTGTGAATTATGATCGATGTTTATGGATGAGAAAAAATTTTATATTGGGCCTGAAGTCCCATAAATCAAGGTATTTTGTACGTGGGGTGACAATACTTAAGATTGAATGATTTTGAGACTACATTCCTGTCATAGTTTAAAGTTCTGTAATGTGGCAGTTGATGAGAAAATTGGATGTCATTGTTATAATATAATATCAATTGTGTCCCTGAAGGGCAGTGGTGAAAAAAAAAATATGTGCTCACAACATGCAACATGAATATGAATTCTTTTATGTTTATAATAATTTGATAAGGTGATTGTGTGTTAAGTTATGATAATTATATTTGGAATTATTCTTGAAAAGAATTTGAATTTGATTGAATAATTGCAACAATAAATAATGCAGTAAATACTAAGCATAGCTGAAAAACATATAAAATGGACGCTTGTGCCTAACTACAACCTGGGTGACTACAATAAGTCTTGATGAAATGATTTATTTTGTAGAAGAACCATGCTTGATTATCATGGTGCAAATTATATTATGTAATGTCCTGATTGAACAAGGTTTTTGCATCATGTCAAAATATCACTTGTAGTGAGTGCCTCCTGAAGAGATTCTAATGTGAATAATTTTCTTATTTGTTTTC